AGTTTTATGAATCTATATACTAACTCTTTTTTTCTTCATTTTATGGTCTTTCTAGGATGAATCAAAATTATATATCTTCCTTGAACTAGTGACACAAGGCTCCCTATTAAATCTCTATCAGAGGTATAATCTTAAAGATTCTCAAGTCTCTTTCTATACAAGACAGATTCTGCAGGGACTGAAGTATCTTCATGGCACAGATGTGGTTCACAGGTAAAATGTCTACGTACTAAATATGAAATTCATATTACTTTCCAGTAGTTGAACATCAATTGCTTAGTATGATAAAAGCAAAAATTTCAGAAATGTATGAAGCTTTAATTTCTTGACAAAACGTTTCGGTTTCTTTTTCTTTTGGGTGATTTAGAGGAACAATGTGCGTTGCTCATAGTCTCTATACTATTACCATTTGTTCAATTTTGTATTGAACTGGTATTTGTTGCTTTTAGTGGATTAATGGGTACTATACCATTACGTGAGTTCGTCTAAGCTCAATTTTGTTCTTTTCTTGTGTCAAAAGGGATATTAAATGTGCAAATATATTGGTGGATGCATATGGATCTGTGAAACTTGCAGATTTTGGATTGGCAAAGGTTTTGTTCCATTCAAAAACTATGTTCTTCCCCATAGTAGCTTCTGAATTATTGTGATTTTTCTGACACAAATTTTCTGATTTGTTGATTTTCAGGTCACTAAATTGAATGATGTCAAATCTTGCAAAGGCACTGCATTTTGGATGGCCCCTGAGGTTTGTCTATACATTTCCTCTTAGAATCAATAAATTATGTTTTCCACACAAGTTAATTTAAATAGCTGCAAACTTTGAAGAAAATGGCTTAAACATTTGTATGTATGGATCAATATTGACTTATGATTGAAGTTGTGCTCAAAAAAATATATAGTCTTTCTGACTATCAGTTGTGCAATCATAGGTTGTAAATCTGAAGAACCAAGGCTATGGTCCTCCTGCTGATATATGGAGCCTTGGTTGCACTGTGTTGGAGATGTTAACCCGTAAGATTCCGTACTCACCTCTGGAATGGGTAAACACTTCCTTTTTCAGCCATTATTCTTTTCTCGAAAAATAAGGACTTTTTATTCATAAGTAAAATTGTAAAATAAAAAAACCAGGAAAAGACGAAGAGAAAAAGAAATATAAATCTAGAAGAGAGATTGCCTGAAAAAATAATTAATTATAAGTAATTAATGTTTATTAGTTAACCTTTAGTAATTAATTTTATGTAATTAATGTTTATTAGTTAGCCTTTAGTCTATGTAAAGTTAATCAAGCCAAGCTCAAGCTTAGACATAAGAAGCATGCTCAAGGTCTAGCTTGTATAAGGTTAACAGAGTCAAGACTGAGCTCGGCATTGTATTGAGTTGTACTGGTTCAATTAAACACCTATTTCCTAGTGTGTCGAGTGTGGATTGCCAGCCCCCTCCATAACCTGAAAATAGTATTTTATTCTTCCCATTGTTGCAAGTTTGCAACTACAACTTTGCAGTACCATTCCCTGTTTGGTAACATATTTTTTCTTTTGTAACTCAAACAGATGCAGGCATTGTTTAGAATTGGGAAGGGTGAACCACCAACTGTTCCTGACTCTTTGTCAAAAGATGCACGAGATTTTATCCTGCAATGCCTACAAGT